TCGGCCTCTTTAAGATGAAATGAAAGAAACAGCGACTCATATTTTTTTCCGGCGCTTACCACTACAATTTTTTAATTCACAGGTGCTGTTTATGTTGCCGGGTGACCTGTTTACTTTTGACGCAATTGATGAAGGAGATGCGAACAATGGGCGAAACTGTAAGTTGCTTCCGGTGATCGTTAAGACACACGACCCGAGTCTGGTGGGTAAACAGTTGAAGGGTCACTAAACGCCAATGGTTCCCCACCCTCGTTAGATATTTTGAATTGGTCATCGTTTAACGTCGTCCAATCAGAAAAGGGCAATCAGCGTGACGGTCTCTGGCTGGCACATGAAAATCTTGCTCCGCATCCCAGACTCTCAAATACTGTGGGATTTTGATTTTCTTCGAGGGCTAGCTTCGGTCCGTTTGGATGGATTTTCGATTGGAAGGTACGAGGAGAATCGAGCATCTTTTGACCTTAATGCTGCGAAGTTTGAAAGCGGAGCGATGCGATTTTTGGGATCAAATTCGCTCGGGCACTTGAACCCTTTCAAAAAGGTTTCCACCCTTGTCTTTCTTTAATACGTTAGATTAACGACAAATTCAGACTTATTCAAAATCGCTAAAAAAAACATTTTTGAGGCAAAGGGACGACTTTACACCACAGGTAAAGTAATTCAATGTTTATTTATCATTGATTTATATACATAGTCAGCAATATATCACTATAGGTGAGGCAAACGGTAAATCTGGTACATTCACCAGAAAACAACAGTCGGCTACACAAACATATTGTATGGGCCCCCTGTGGTTGAACACAACTAGCGTTCACATACTCGCTCGCTTACATTTTTGCCGCTACTGAGTAGCTAAATTCTCATCTTGGTATTTCGTAATCATAACCTTTTCGCCAACCAATTGCGGATTCACAACTGAGGACAACATTTTGTTCTGTTTAAGAACCTGCCAACAAGAAAAAACGAGGTTGTGCGTTGCATTGATGTGTTCCACAATGTAACAATGACTCCCATTACAACAGCTCGTTGTCTTTTCATCGTTTTCCTAAGAAAGACGAACAACTCAGAGCAAGCTGGATCGTAAAAATTCGATGCACATCGTGTAAATATCCAGGCTCAGCGAAAAACTTATAGCCTTTGGTTGTGTGCCTGCAGCCAGATTCTTTCTGGGCATACGCTTCAACCTCAGAAAATGCAAGGTCAGGAAATGCTGACAAGTCAGCAGAAACAGCTAGAGGAAAGATAGTGGGATATAGAAATATCACCTCCAATTCAATGTAAACCTTCTAGAATAAAGATACCTGGCGTAAAACTTCGTTTCGTATTGATAACACGAGATAGAAACGAACAATTTATTATCACAAGTTATTTATATCCAAGACTGATGTAGCGAGCGAGAATGTAAACAACACTAGTTGTGTTCAACGATCTCAAAACGACACGCAAAATCGGAAATGTAGATCATAATCTTCTGGATTCATGCAAATATAATTCCTAACACTGATAATCATTTACTGTATCGAACGTTTGAT